CTGTATTCAGAAAGTGATGTGAGGCATGCTCGGAATGACATCTGCGTTTGGATAATGTCCACATTATTATCCACATTCCCCTGACATTCAAGTACAATGCGAGTCAGATTTTGTGTGGACGGATTCAAACCTTACGTAAAGTTTGCGTTCTGCTGTGATCACATGTCACCGCAAAAGTCACAAGTGTAACCGTCGTCTGTTTTGGTCAATGTCAAAAGTGACCTCACTGTCTACAGAGCTACCAAGGCGGTGGAGGTCAGATGAATGGTTCAGTGTTAATTTTTCATCAGAGCAGCAGTAAGACTGTACACAGCCTTGCAGTGTGCAGAATTACAGAAGTGCAGTGGCATTTATTTACTCCTGTTAAATGCCAAGGTCAAACGGTTTCCAGCTCAAGCAGGGAAACAAAGGATTTTTAGTGCATTATTGCACTGTTGCATTATTGATTTCATGCAGTTTCTCATTAAAGCCGACTACTTTTCTTCAGATCATTTTGTCTGGGCCCCCCTCACACTATGAATATTAAATAACTAACTTGTAAGTCTTGTTGTGGCTGGAATGGTAATATCCTAATCAAATCGTAATATGTCTTTCATTTCTTAATACATTATAATAGAACAAAATTGGTTCAATGTATTCATTCACAATTCTCTCATTCATTCATAATGTCACCTCACTTACTTCCCTGGCATACAGATACAATGCTAAGTGGTTTAAATTACAATAATCATTCCATTTCACCCACTGCATGAATTTGGCCTTTGTTTATGGCTCAACCAGATGAAATCTGAGTGCATATGTATGTGTGTGTGTGTGTGTGTGTGTGTGTGTGTGTGTGTGTGTGTGTGTGTGTGTGTGTGTGTGTGTGTATCTGAGAATGTGAGTGAGTACATGCATGCTTATGTGTGCATACATCTCCATGGACGAGTAAGGGCAGGCAGATGGCATGTTGACTCTAAGCCCACACGTGCCATACCCTACACATGCTTTTCGGTGACCCCTCACCTCCATCTGACTCCCATTCCTCAGATTCCACACGTTGCTCAGAGAGGTTTGGCCCCACTGTATGGGACACAACAGGGTCCCCTGTACTGATGTATAATAATACGCTTCCTCTTCAATAATGTTATCTTCAAACATCAGAATTCCTCTGAGCAGCGGCGTGCAAGAAAAAAAAACCCTCTGTAGCAATAAGTTAATAAGTTATTAAATGCTAGCACTGTTAACCACTAACTAAAGCTGCTGTGATCAACAGTATATAATGTGCACTAAATTGGGAAATAGTTCTGACATAGCCTTTCCCTACAATTGTGACTCTTCACATTGAAGCAGTCTGAGCTTTGTCGGCGTCTGTGTTTCCATAGGCAACGGAGAAGTGCAGATGTTCCTGCTCCCATAGAGGAGGCGGCAATTAGGCTAATGTGACAGGTAACAAATGGCGACTTCACTGTACGTGAGAGAATTAATTAATCGCTGATCTAAATATAGTTTCGCACCCCGACGTTTGTGGTTAACGGCTCAGGACACGGAGATTTAATTCACACACTGCAAAGTAAGAATCCGTGTCTTTGTGTGTTTGTGTGTGTGTGTGTATGTTTTGCCCTGATCTTGTACTTCAGCGTTCAAGGCTAGGAACAGTTTCAGACAAGGCTGTGTCTCTCTCTTTGCCCTTCTTGTGTTCGTTCTTTCAGGATGCTGCATGGAAACTCTGCTGGGTACCGTATCTTGTTAGGGTGTTGTTTCTTGTGCTGCTCCATGCTGCTCAGCTTTGGAGGTCATGGAGATTTAAGGGCTTTGAACGCACTGCTCTGTGCCTGACCTAGTTTTATTGAATTTTCCCCCATTCTCTGCAAGAAGTAGCACTTTTAGGTATCTGAAATTTATGTTGGCTTTGTTTCAAAAGTAGGGTAAGAATGGAAAGTTGCAAAACATAGAAGAGTCAGAGTGCTCCTCAGGTTGGTGAGGTTGTAGGGACATTAATTAATAATATTTCTGGGTAGACAAATATAGGTGGATATATAACTCAAAGGCAAACTAAAAAGTTTCTTGTCAATTTCTCTAAATTATTATGAAGAAGTGCTCCACAGCGTTTGCATCACTCCCTCGGGATCACAGCACCAAGAGCTAAAACACAACTTTAAATACGCTGCTTAAGAATCAGAGCTACCCAGAAATAGCAGTGAGGAAAATCTCCTCTCCCTGTATCTGGCCAGCAGCCCACCTTCAGGTCTGGTGCTTTAACCTTCAGAGACTTCTGCTGCTGATGTGGCTGGGGGTTTGGCTGAGCTGAGGTTGCTGGGAAATCAGCCAGGCAGAAAAAGTGTGGGTAGATGAGCAGAATGAAGATTTCAATTGTGCTCCAGTATTTTCCCATGGAAAAAGAGGATATTGTTTGAGTGGAATAGATATTAGAGGAGGTTGTGGTTGTGTGCAATTTCTTTTTTTTTTTTTTTTTTTGTGAAGACAAAGAACAGAGCATCTAGAAACGCAAAAGGGAAACACAGCAGGTTAAATAACTGAGTGGTTACTACTGAGTGAGTAAGGGACAATTCAGAAAATAACTGATAATCTATAAAAAGATTATAGGTAGATAGAATAGATTAACTCTGAACTCTTAACTGACATTGATGAATTAGTATCTAATGATCAGTTCCTAATGTATTGGTCAGCACATTTTTTGTGCCTTGAGCCAGGCTGTTTCCTCTTGCTTCCAGTCTTCATGCTAAACTAGCGTGGCTGTAGCTTCATATTTAACCGACAGATATGAGAGTTGTATCAATCCTCTCATCTACCTCTCAGCAAGAAAGCCAATAAGCACTATTAATCCCTGACACTCAATCCCAGCAAACTGATCCCTGAACAGTCCTTTAACATGAAGTAGCGTAAATCAGTGAGAACAGAAAGTCTGTTGAACTTCACCAAAGACATTCTGTTAGGAACATACAGCGCCTTCCACATTTCTGTGATATTGATTCATAATGAGAATCCAAAGTCTGCCTGGCTGCGTCTTTGTTCAGCTACACATGCTCAGTGAGGGAGGCTGCCTGGTTACAGTAACGTTAGAGACAGCCTTATTGTCTGCATTACTCATTGTCTCCTCTGCTTTCAGTATAGCTCTGTGTGTCGGCTTCAGTGGGAACAAGCTCACGACAGTTTACTTTGACTTCTACTCAAACAGTCAAAACAACAACCTGACTCATTTGAATCAGAGTCGGATGGCTCCTTTGTCTGTGGGATGCGTCTCCTCTGTGGACCCCAGGTGTCCACTGTTTCAGTGGCATGACTGTTTGAACTGCACAAAATAACATCATTACAGGAGAGCAGCAGAGTAATTTTATATTCATGGAAGTAAATCATGAAGATGGGATAAATAGTGTCGTAGAATGCTTCCATTATCCTATTTAAATTCAACCCCTATATATTCTGGTCTCTGGCAACATATTATATACCATTACATAAACATTTTATCCCCATTGTAAGCTAATTCTAGCATTAGTGATTCTACCACTATGTGCTTTTATTTCATTCATTCTGGTGTTATATTAGAATATATATATATTAATATATATATTTAAGGGCTACAATGACGTCTCCACACTGCACATATTACACATATATTGGTATGTATTTGGGTACATCTGCTAAAATACACACACACACACAGACACACAAACACATACTGTATATATGTATATATATTTGTCTTTGTCACTGTTTGTCTTAAAGTTAATGACTTTAACCTGGATAGCCGTGTTTCTCTTTGTGTTTTGATCTTATTATGTAAAGAGAAGGGATGACTATGTAGGAGTCCACAACCTGGAAATGACTCCCACATCCTCCCCAGATAGGTTTGTGGGAGTCTCACATCCCCTATGTTGTGTTTCAAATGTCTGATGTTTGAGCGTGTCCTGAGGCGTGTGTAGACCACAGAAGAACAACTTGATGCTAATTTTGTGACTTCCTGGCCTTTAATGAATCTTAGGGTCATTAACATACTCATTTATTGCAGCTTTTCTAAAAAACAATTTATTCACCTCCACTCCTGGACTGGATGAAGGACTGTGTGTGTGTCCAGATGTGACTCTTCTATCTCTGTGTGCCTCTGAACATTCACACACCAAATCAATTCACCTGACTCGCAACTAGTGCACCAGCTGATACAGCCAATCACGGCAAAGGAGGAAGAAGTTTCAGCTTTTATTTCTTTACCAACACCATCATGTATACAGTAAATACTCAATTACAAGTAAGATCCCTACATTTATAATTGCAGTGAGTGATATAATATTTTCACATCATTAGATTGTTAATACTGATAAATCAATGTGTAGGCAGCATTTTACTGTAGCAGCTGATCTAGGTAGAGCCAGTTGTGTTGTTTATTCCAACCTTTTCGGGGGCCCTCTAAGCACAAGATAAATCTGAGGGGCCGTGAGCTGATTAATGAGAGAGGAAAGGAAAAAAAAAACTAAATTCTGCTTCACAGATCTGTTTTTAGTTTTTGGAATATTCTCTGCTCTTTGGTGTTTTTAGTGAAATTTTTCCTCTTTGTGCTTCAAAAAGTTATTTAAATGAAACCATTTGAGGGGTTTAGAGAGGAAATCTCTTCACCAGCTAAAAGACAAATGAAAACATAAGTTGTAAGTACGTTTTTATAGACTTATGTTTTTGATTTAAAATGTCAATCTTTAAAGTAACTGAAATATAGTGTAGTATAAAGGAGCATAAAATGGAAATACTGTAGTACTCAAGTACTGTACAAGTACCTCAAAATTGTTCTCATGTAAATGTACTTAGGTGCTTTCCACCAATGGTACATAATTGATTTCTGAAAGTTGAAAGTTGAAAGTTAGCTTGAACAGCTGAGAAGAGATAAAAATAGATTTTTTGATTTAGCTGACAGCTGTCTAAATGTGCTGTGCTGATATCGGTCATGTGTGTTGTGTGCCATGATTTCAAGTTTAGCTGGGATTAGTCCTTCAGCGTGTTCTCAGCCTTACCAGGGCTTTGGTCTCCTCCTCGTCTTTGTAATAGTAGAGCTGGTCCCCTCGCAGCACAAACCAGCGACTGTGCCAAGACTTGACAAAACCTCCTTGCTTCCTGAGCCACCCACACCTGATGACATTCGGCCGTGCCTGCTTCTGAACTTCTGTGCTGGCCGGACCTCCACTGCGCTGGGGACTGCCGTGGGACACACACTGGTCGTCCATTACAGCAACTCTGATCTGCAAACAGGCAAACCAGTTTGGAAAGGGTTTAGATTTATACAGGCTACAAGTTCCAACTAGACCAAACATGAGGAAAACAAATACATTCTTCAACGTATTCCAAACTCAGTGTGGGCATGTAGAATAGAAATCATAAAAAAGACCAGTGAATATTAAGCTCCCAATATTCTGAAAGATTTCAACCAACATAAAAATGTATTGGCATGATATAAATGAACTACACTTATATAGCGCTTTTCCACTCATCCACACACTGATGCAGCAGACACCAGGGGTTTAGAATTTGGGGTTCCAAATCTTACCAAGGACACTTCAACATGTGGACTGGAGGAGCTGGGGATTGAACCACCAACCTTCTGATTAGTGGATGACCCGCCACATAATGTAACAATTATAGATATCACTGTCCATGTAAAAATGTGGCAGAAACACGATTGTTCATTTTAATGATTTATTCAGTCCATTTCATTATTCTTTCCACCAAAATGCTGGAATCTTTGCATAATCCCGATTGGAAGATTATTTCCGAGAAGACATGGGAAAGAAATGGGAATTTATTTTTTGTTTGTTTTGTTTTTATGGTTTGGATGAATCCACCCTTTTACAGAAATGTCGGGCCTGTTCACTGTGGTGTGGTGAAGCATCACAGGATTTGGGTTAGACAGAACAAACAGAGTGTTGCAAGGAGACAGAGGCAGAAAGGGAAATGTGGGAGGAGGAATTCATAAGCCAGATAACAAGACCACAGACCAAACCTCAAATCTTTTATCTTTTTTTTTTTTTTCTGTGTCACTCTCCTACGTAAGTTGCCCTTATCCCCTCTGCTTCCCCAAGCTTACTATTCAGTACATAATCATATGCAGGCAAATGTCCTTCATTGCAGCTAAAACCTTCACACGTCCATACATACAGCGCAAATTTGATGTCTGCAGTGAAATGCTGCACATGTTTTTATCAGTCAGCGGTGGCCAGTGTACTTTTTTATGCTGCAGTCTGCTGGGGCAGCAGCATGTCCGACACAAACACAAAGAGACCAGACAAGCTGGTAAAAGCTGGGTCTGTGCTTGGTAGGAGTCTGGACTCAGCCAGGACTGTTGTGGAGAGATGCATGCAATGTAAGATGGAGGCCATCATGGACAATACCAACCTCCCTCTCCACAACATTCTGGCAGCACAGAGAAGCAGCTACAGCTGCAGCAAACGTCTCATCTCACTGCGCTGCAGAACAGAGAGGTTCAGGAGATCCTTTATTCCCACTGCCATCAGGCTGTAGAACACCTCAGCCAAAGGAAGTGGACTAATCAAATTATTATTGTTATTATTATTATCAACAATGAGCTAATGACACATGAATTTAGGATAAATAGGATAAATAAAGTATCTATCTATCTATCTACCTACCTACCTACCTACATACCTACCTGCATGCAGTCATCCCCCTGTACATATTGTTTCCAAAAGCATAATGAACCTCTGCATCATTCAGGGGCATATGCTACTACTCAGAGACTGCTGCTGTCAGCTTTATGCATCGCCATGTTATCAGTGGCTCTGGTGGAGCTTGGCTTGGTGGACATCCAAACAGCCCACAGGTCCAGATGTGGACCAGATGCAGGCCAGCAGTGTTCCAGGCAGTGGTGCAGCAAGTGCAGCAGGACTGCTGTGGCGATTTCTAAACTTCTGTCTGGTTTCACACACACACACACACACACACACACACACACACACACACACACACAGTCCAAGTAAACATGTCCTGTATGTACAATATGTGCAGGCCGAAACACGCTCACTCCTCTGCATTCCTCTCAGAAAATAACAGTTTTTTACTTGTTTTGCATTGTGCTAGCCATAACCTACTTATTATCTGTTATCCATCTCTACTTCATCTCTGCACCAAGTGTGTGCTCTTCGTGTGTGCTCTTCATGTGTGCTCTTCCTTCAACAGCGGTGAAAGCTATCAACTGGGCTCAGTTCTTTCAAGGAAAAATTCTTCTTTGCGTGGGATTGTTTAACACCAATACTGGAGTGAATAGCTTCTTAAATCCTGTTGCTTCTTACATACTTTCTGTTAGCTTGAATAGTCTATAAATACACATATGGACACACACACACGCAGCATAAATCACAGTCTAGGGTTGGTACACACATCTGTTGTTGGAGTCACCTGCTGTGTTGCCAGTCTGGTGCCACAGCCCCATTGCAATTTCATGGTTCCTGCACAGGGCCTAGTTAACGGCACTGCAGGGACTGGCCTGTGCTGCTACCAGCTGAAATGGTAAATAACTCTGTTTTTTTTTTTGTTAATGTGAATAACTTGGAGCTAGCTGAGAGCAGAAAGACTATTTACAATTTACAATACAATGCTCTGTGGTCTAGTCCAGAGGTAATAAATTGCTGTACAGTCGTAGAAAGCGTAATCATTACTACATCTATAAATTACCAGACAAATGGAATAAGATTATTTGAAAAGTTAGCGGTTCTTTGGCCCATTCAGGAACAGCATGATGAATTGTGACCTTTAGAAAGTTGTTTGTCTTCATTTTCATGCTCCTTTTGTTTATGGACTCTATCAAACAAATCCAGTAGAATCATGGGAAATGGTGCGTTAACAACAGCCATAAAGTGATGAAAATAAAATTTTGCTATCAGGATAAGCAGCTACTTTAGATACTTCAATTTTGTGAAGCAGTAACCTAACAAGGTCTAAAGACAGGACAGCTGACCTGTTTTCAACCATATGTAGCCATTCTTTTTGTGGACACTTCTCCTGTGAACCTCCCTGATGGTCCCAGATGTGGCTGTAAGCACATTTATGAAGCAACTGCAAAGACTTGGCAAGAACACATCACTTCCTGACTGTTTTGTCCATTCAGCACATTGAAAACAGGCTCCCAGAAGTGCATCCTGTGTCCCTGTAAAACACCTGTGTGTGCAGGTGTATGTGTCTGTATCTTTCTGTGTGGCAGTAGCGTCTCTGCCCAATGAGCCTCAGTTTCCACAAATAAGCGGCAGAACTAGATATGTGATGATTTTTCCCCAGCCATAATAACAAGATTAGAAAAGCAACACTGAAAACAAAGACATAGGATATCTACTTTACCCGAGGCAGCCTGAAAATAAAACAGAATGAAATGAAAAATATAATTCTTTCAAATTGAACAAGACTTGCATTCAAAATTGCTAGAGGACTAATTTTGCAATTAAACTTTTTACACACTAGGGAGAGAAGTAACTTGAGATTGACGTGAATCCCAATTTTCCTCTTTAAGTTTGCTCATGACGTCAAGTCTGATTTCTGGAATAATGAATTTGGCAGTATGATGGAGGATTTCATTTCCAAAGTGGCAATTAACTGTTCATGTCTAGTAACAGTTTTAATCTGTTTCTGTCAAGTAACATTCATGAGTTTAAGGAAGTCACAGAATTTTCTCACAGCACGCCTAAGAACTTTGACCATACTTAGCAGTCTGTGAGAAGAGACACCCTGACCTTCACTATAAACAAAAACAACAGCCCAGTATACGGCACAGACACAGCCACAGCCACAGCCACAGCCACAGCCACACACACACACACACACACACACACACACACACACACCACAAACACATACTGTGCACTCACTTGAAAGGAGGACACAAAGATAGTCACGAATCAGCCCCCTAAGGTTTTTGTGGCATGCACTATAATTTGTTAGCAGGATGCAACATATCTGTGGCTCTGTGGCAGTAGAAGAAGAATTCAAACCCCACGAGTAAAAGAAGGGAGGAAGTTCTCTATGTGGGGTACAAATCTTTCAAACTACAATTAGAGTTATTCTCCATTTGAGCAAAGACGTACTCATGTTCTTTGTCTGTCCATCAGTGAAATGGATGGATGGATACAGAGCCAGGCTATATTGGGTTTAGGGACGCCTTTTTGTTGGTTTAAAAATTTGCATCTGTCAGTGAAATCATACAAAGTGTCTGATGTGTTGTTAAGGATGAAAGTTGTTCTCAAAGCAGCCAAGAAGGCTCTGAACTGTGCAATAAATCATTTCCTATTGTTTCCTGGGACAGAACCATTTGATGTAAACTGATACTTGTGATGATGAACCTATGCATAATAAAAACAAAAAGGGCCCTGTGTTTTATGGGATTCTGTGGGCTGATACACACCTCAGGATAATTCACAAAGAAAGTGATAGCAACCTTTTTGCATTACTCAGCCAACTTTTTCTGCATGTGTAACTGATGTCAGATGCACCATATGTTGGATACATCCTGGATAACATGATACCAACACTGAGGAAATAAGGTTACCTAGAGGTCTAAACAAGAAAGCATGTTTGATGAGACTATAAAATCTCTGAAATGTGATACTGCAGACCCTCTTGTCCATACAGGACCCGTCTCACAGCATCAGGGGGTTGCGAGTTGCCTGTGCATACACACACTGTTTGCTCCCCATATGGGAAAGTACTGAAGCTAAAAGCACACAAAAGCCTGAACTGTCTGAATTGAGCCAGTTGGGAGGAAAGGAGATTGAGGCTTCACTTCACAGTCTGGCTCATCCTTTGGGAAAATAAAGTTGTGCTAGGGAAGGTTTTTTGGGGCTAAAAATACCCAGTTACCTAAACCATACATTTGGTCCACAAAGTAAAGAGCATTCAATTCCCCCTCTTGTTGAGACTGTACAGACTGTTGCCTAAATTGCCAAAAATTCTGGTGTCGTGCAGGGACAGTGGCAGGAAATCTTCTGTGACCACAGGAAGTGGCCGGTCAAAACCGCAGCAAGGGAGCACTCTTTCGAAGAAAAACTGCACTTAGCAAACTTAGGTCTGCTGCCTTTCCCATCCTGTGGTTGCTATAAAGCATCACAGACCAATGTGGTAAACATGAATGTGTACTAAGTGCATCTTACCAACATAATGTGACATGAATTCACAGTTTTCAAACAGATGACAGTTTGCTAAGCCCCTCCACTTAGTTACTGTTGGTACACCTGTCTAACTC